ACTCCCTTGCACAATTTAAAGCACGATGAAGGTTGAGGCAAAGTACAGGTGCGCTGACCTAAACGTTAGACGCTGTTTCCGTCCTGATACTTAGAACTATGAACTCTGGTACTTGAGGCGGGTTCCCCGGGGTACAGGAAGTAATGAGAGGTGAACAGAGAACGGACGGACATCCAGATGTGGCATGGACATGCATTATCTCCTGTGCCCGTTTAAGCAATATGTATACGAAGGTAGAATAATTTAGTTATGCATTTACATGCATTACATTGCATCTCAGAGACTTATATATTTGTATATATAATATATTGTGATATGTTGGATTTTTTTGTGACTGGGCTGGTCCCAAGTAAGTGTGATAATTCTTTATATAATTCTATGTCTTTTCCATATTGAACTAGCTTGTATCGTGCTGACTTGTATACATTAAACATACTTTTTTCACATGCGATGCTAGGGGTTTTGCCAAAGTGGCTGGTACCAAGATGGGCCAACCTTTACATATCTTTGTGCCATATTCGTCCTGAACTATTTGATTTACTGATTATAAGCATTATGTGAATACTTCTATATCTGTCCTGTTGTGTACAGTGTGATGTCTCTTGACTAGAACACTATTTGATTGCAATATGAGTGAGTGAGTAAAGTTTTACACCGCTTTTAGTAATATTTCAGCAATATCACGGCGGGGGACACCAGAAATTGGGTTCACACATTGTAACCATGTGGGGAATCGAACCGGGTCTTCGGCGGGACAATCCAACGCTTTAACCACTGGGCTACCCCACTGTCCCTTGCAGTATGATAAGATATAATATAAATTGTTCTGTGTATTTAAATATCATCAAACTCAACAATGTCAAAGTTGGGTTCCAATCTCATTGTGTGTTTAAGATGGACTTGAGCACAGCAACAAATCATGTTTGGTTCTTGTGAACATACCTATGCATTTTCCTAGTGTCATTATACGTTCTGTTTTAACAGCATGTTAATATATTTATACAGCTCAAAAAAAAGTTAAAGGTGATCAGATAATTATTTATTGTCATGTAAGTTGCAAATATGTCATTAAATTATCGTTTCGTTGTTTAATACTTTTTGTTGTTGTTTATTACTTTTTGTATGTCGATATGAGCATGACAGAGCACTATTTCAGATCTTCGTTCTTGACCATACGCACGGGCGGATCCAGGAATTTTGAAGGTGTGTGTGGGCGGATCCAGGAAAAAATTTTGAAGGTGTCATTTTCAAAGGGGAGGGTTCCAACCCTGAACACCCCACCCATGTGCCAATGATACGCGTCCCGATCCGCTTAGAATAGGTCTTTAGCAATCTCCCTTCTGTGTGACAAGCCAATACTTTAATCACTAGGCTACCCCACTGCCCACTACCCCTAGAAGTCATAGAAACTTTCAGGAGTCGAGCTGCTGAACATGATAACTCATCCATGGACTGTCTGTGACCAATGTTGCTTAACTTTAACTGATTTGTGACCTGGGCTCTATGCACAAGGTTAGAATATTGATCTTCAGTAATCCATGCTTGTCATAAGAGGCGACTAATGGGATCGGGTGGTCAGACTCGCTGACTTGGTTGACATGTGTCATCGGTTCCCAGTTGCGTAGATCGATGCTCATGCTGTTGATCACTGGATTGTCTGGTCCAGACACTATTATATACACACCGCCGCCATAGAGTTGGAATATTGCTGAGCACAACAAACATTAAACGAACAAACAAGCACGTTCTATGTGGTAAGATAGAGTAAATGTTGCTTAACTTTTCTCCATGTGCATTTACAAACGTACATGTAATTCCTACAAAAATAACCCGTGAAGGTCCGGGTTCGAATGAACTTTCAGTAACCCATGCTTGTCGTAAGAGGCGACTAACGGGATCGGATGGTCAGATTTGGTTGCCACATGTCATCGGTTCCCAATTGCGCAGATCGATGCTCATGCTTTTGTTCACTGGATTGTCTGGTCCAGACTCGATTATTTACAGACCGCCGCCATATAGCTGGAATATTGCTGAGTGCGGCATAAAACTAAACTCACTCACTCATTCTTGTTAAACGTTTATTCTGTTTAACAGACCCAGACCAAACTTGACTAAAAATAAACCAGGCTAGCTATTCTCGAAACGTTTGTAGCCCTACAAACTTCTTAGCCCATTCTTAACACATTGGCTACGATCAAAGTTAAGAATTCTTAGGACTACGAACGTTTCGAGAATAAGGGCTCTGGACAGTCTAGATATTATATAAAAAAACATCAGTTTGACTTGCAAATTCAAAATATGAAACAAATAATATATTCACCGTCAGAATTAGTTTGATAAGATGACTTGTACCACGAACCAGACGTCAGAAGTTTGAGCACTGTTCCCTTGAGGTCCGGAGTATACAGTTAGCAGGGAAAGAGTTGCCTCCCTTTACACCTGAGGGCTGGCTTTGATCCAGCGCCAAGTGGATAAAATTGTGGAAGGTTCCAAGAATGTCAGTTACCCATCTGCTCAGTTCCTTCCTTCTGATATTGTGGACATGTCTATGTCAGGCTTTGGCACTGGGGCCAGCCTAGTGAGGCCATATTTAGAATACACCTCATTGAGCCACTCAATGAAAATACTCTGAACATGAAAAAGTAACCAGGCTCCTTTTTATTATATTTTTTTAAAACGTAATTTAGGAACCATTTTTGGGTGTAAAATATGTTCATTTCATATACTAAATGTTAGTCTAACACCATGACCACACTCCTTGGTTTACTATAAACCAACACAAACATTCAATTCATGTTTATCAAGATGAAAATTTATTTCATTAGTTTGTTATATGAGAGATTTTTCATTATTTCAACCAAATAGCATATTATCATCATCATTATCATCATCAACATCATCATCAAAATGTACAACATGGTAATGTAGAAAAGCAATATTTATAAACAAGATTCAGTACAATTTGCTATGCAGTATCATGACAATGCATATCTATGATCCAATTTTCCCTGAAACAGAACTTATTTATCACCAACTGAGCACTGGCTGGCCGTTCACCCACCATCAATTTGTACACATCTACGGTGCCAATCACACCTGCCAGCCCTGTCCATCTATCAATCCGGCCACCACTGGCAGCAATATAATAACTTAGTATGAAACGGAGTTTGCATCAGCTTCGTCTGTTGCCTCTGTGGCACTAGGCATTGTGGGTATTACCTGCCGCACACCTGCGACATTTGATCGGGTATAAAGGCCTCAAAGAATGATGGCACTTCTTGAAAGGTCACAGCTCAAATACCATGTCAACAGGTAATAGAAAATAATATCATTATGACATAATGACAAATATTTCATGTGATCACTAGACAACAAACACTGATCACATGATCTACAGGTTGGTCATGTGACCACTAGCACACATATTATCCAATGGAACTGCAGATTTTTGTCACATGACTGGACCAGTAATCAACAGTGAGCATGACAACCACCTGTACAAATCTCTTTGTATCAAAGCATTTGTCTGTTGTGTAAGTTTGGATATCATGTCAGACTGAAAGACTAAATACCTCTGACAAGTCACAAGAAACTTCTTAGAAATGATTAACACTTTGGTGGAGTTTAAAACCTTTTCCATAATACTGTGTTCTTAATTAATACCAGGTGTGGCTTCAAAAAGATATTTGATAAATTTGTGGATGGACATTCTTTCAGCAAAAGGTGATGTAACAAAGTGACAGCTTGGTTTGTATAGGATCAGTGGGATCTGGACACAATAGAGTGTGGTTCTCCTTCAGCAGGGAGACTATTATTTGACATCCAACACATTCATACTGCCCAGGAGGACTGATAGTATTTATTTGGGACTGATGAACCTTCTTTGGATTATCAGCAGATTGTCAGGATTGTCCTTGAGCTGAATAAAGAGTTTTGATCAAGTTTTCTGGACAGTCATATGATCGTTCCTGAACAGCTCGACCTGTGACAGCCTCTCTAGCACTGAATCTTTCTAACCAGACTCCATGAAACAGACAGCAGTGGTTGTATCTTGGAGAAGACTTTTCCTTGACTGAATGCTCTTTTGATACGCTGATATCATGAGAATTTTCAAGAGTTATTCTGCACCATAACTGAAGGAATTACGCTGAGCTGCAATTCAGATACTGGATCCACCAGGATAGCTGAGCACATGCTGCAACCTCTACTCAACCATCACAAGGATTCCACCTCTTGCTGTGAATGTCTATCACCACAATCTTTGCCTTCTGCTCAACACTTGCAAGGATATCCACCTCTTGCTGTGAATGTCTATCGCCACAATCTTTGCCTTCTGCTCATAAATACATTTCCACAAAATCTCTTCCATCACTACATGCCTCACTAACTGTTCACTTGCTTTGCCTTCAGCTTGCCATCCATGTTACGAGACTTCCCAGCAGTGACATTTGCCGTCTGCTCAGTATCCACTTTCAGATCTCTCAGCACTTAGGAGTAAACATCTGCTTAACACAATCATCACAAAGGTCCTTTATTGTGGACGAGAACACGCCTCAGGGTCCCCACCCCCAGACCCTGATATGCAGGCTCCCATCCCTTACAGCACCAATATCACAGATGTCACACGTCCACATTCACACACCATTCACACCATCAGGAGTCCAGCTCGGTTTGTTAAAATTCGTAAACACTATCCATGGCCATCGTGTCCTATAGAAATGAATGGTCATTGATTCAGCACAGAACATGGTTCTAGAATGAGATTGAAGTTTACTTATCCTAGGTAATCTCACTATAATTTGGAAAGAGTTTAGATATTGTTTGTTGGTATTCTTAATAGTTCCCATATACAAAAATCCCATTTAACATAAAACAGCAGTCAAATGACTGATCAAGAAATTTGATATGAGATAATCATGTCCATTAAGGAAATGAAATATCTGACAAGACAATTTCTAGATTTGAAATATAACAATTAATAACTCAGTAGGGTTAAAAAATAATAATAAGTGTATGCTTTTATGATATGCAAACAACCATGACGTGAGATATGTTTTGAAGGCTGACAGTAGTACCTACTGCTAATTCTAAAACAACATGCCCTTCAAACTGTACAAATCAGAATTAATTTTCGTTCAGTATTGAGACACTTATAGTGAGTGAGCTGGCTTAACGACTCTTTGAACATTATTTCAGCCATACAACAGTGTGTAAGCTTGTGGGTAGGAATGATGATTGCCTTACGAATCTAAATATAATCTGGGAGGCCGAGCACAGCAAAGGGACACCACTCTGCACAGCAAGTTGTTTGCCTTTTGATGACTGGGTCAGCTGTGCCAACCTCTCCAATATCAGTAGACTAGAGACTGAAGTACTTCAATAAGATACTAAGTACCTTCGAAACAACCTGTCCTACAATGCCTTCTGTGATAAGAATCAGGAAAAGCATTGAAATAATGACAAATAATTTTGTTTCTGACATTTATAAAGAGAGTATTAGCTATTGATTTTGAAGTATTGGCAGTAAAAATGCCACAGACCAGGGTAAGTGATTTGTTTCAAGGCTTTGAACAGTGTTTGTGATATCACAGTATATCAGCTAGGTGCTGAAACATAGCAGGTCACTGACCTTGTTCACTTTGGTAGAACCATTAACCAAGGGTTAATAACATACAGTCAAATCTGGATTCAAACCTATGTCAGCAGATCCTGCCATCACTAAGGGATACAACTCAGTAAACTGCTGTTGACTACCACTGCCCCAAATTCAGAAAAAAATCTTATCTATGTGAGTAAATGTGTCAGGTATAATCTATCACGTCCTGATTAAACGTAATATACACAGATTTATCTCCCTTGTCAATTATCTCCCTTTTACTATTAACCATCAGTACAACATCATTGGAGCACAAGCTTTAAATTCTTAGTAACTGAAAAATGTCAAAAACTAAAAATATTCTCCCCACACTGCCTGATCAAGTTACTGCATCTTAATCTCTTCAGAATAGTGTAAATGTGTCTAAGTCTTTGGTAAGAAATGCATACGACATCTCCGAACAGTAATTCACACTAGAATTCTCCCGGCGAGTATTGACTACAATTGCAAGCTGAACTCCTAACTTGTCAGTGCTATGAGATCACATTCGATGGGGAATTTGATATTTGCTGTAAGTGCAGTTCCTGCTGTTTGGCCGTCCCGTCCTCCGCGCTGGTTGTCACAAGCAATGTGTGTTGGGGTCCCTGTTGGCCCGCCAGAGCTGGGTTCATAATCGGGATGGTCACTGACATGGGTTGCATGGTGATCTTGCCAGTCATGCCCTTCATGTTGAGCATGCCGGGTTTGACTTGAAGCTGGGCCAGCTGTGCAGTTGTGAGAGCTTGACTTGTGCACAGCTGTGTTCCTAGCTGGCCTGGGTTGGCTTGTAGCAAGCCGGGAGACAGATTCATGAGTTTATTATGACCCTGCTTTAGGCTGGCTGTGTGTCGCTGACTAGTCCCGGACTTGTCTGAAATGAAAGGATGTGATGGTAAGGTTTGTTATATAAAGTGGTTACAAATGGTTTTACACCGCTTTTAGCAAATTCCAGGAATATCAGAGCAGGGGACACCAGAAAAGGGCTTCACACATTGTACCCATGAGGGGAATTCAATCGGGGTCTAAATTAGACCTGGGTCCGATTATAGTGAGTGAGTGAGTTTAGTTTTACGCCGCCCTCAGCAATATTCCAGCTATATGGCGGCGGTCTGTAAATAATCGAGTCTGGACCAGACAATCCAATGATCAACAGCATGAGCATCGATCTGCGCAATTGGGGGATCCGATTAGACTCTAATCCGATGCTACTCAATTTCATAAGCAAGTGGGTCAGTTCTTAGTATTAGTAGAGTGTGCTCAGCAAAATGTAGCATCTGCTAAGTAAACTGTAACCATCTCGGCATGTATTTGTGTGGACTGGTCTCATACCCCCATCGTCCGGCACCAAGATATAAATTTTTGCACATTGACAGCGTACCTCCATCAGCTATACTACTAAGGATCAAGCTTTTACTTTGCAACAGAGGTAAAGTCAACAAATCAAAGTTTGACACAATGGTGAGTGTACTTGTACTGATGTTATTACACATACTGAAAACTGAGTGAGTGAGTATGGTTTTGTGCCGCTTTTAGCAATATTCCAACAATATCACGGGGGGACACTAGAAATGGGCTTCACACATTGTACCCATGAGGGGAATTCAATCGGGTCTAAATTAGACCTGGGTCGATTATAGTGAGTGAGTGAGTTTAGTTTTCATCATGCGCCCTATATTCCAGCTATATGGCGGTCTGTAAATAATCGAGTCTGGACCAGACAATCCAATGATCAACAGCATGAGCATCGATCTGCGCAATTGGGGGATCCGATTAGACTCTAATCCGATGCTACTCAATTTCATAAGCAAGTGGGTCAGTTCTTAGTATTAGTAGAGTGTGCTCAGCAAAATGTAGCATCTGCTAAGTAAACTGTAACCATCTCGGCATGTATTTGTGTGGACTGGTCTCATACCCCCATCGTCCGGCACCAAGATATAAATTTTTGCACATTGACAGCGTACCTCCATCAGCTATACTACTAAGGATCAAGCTTTTACTTTGCAACAGAGGTAAAGTCAACAAATCAAAGTTTGACACAATGGTGAGTGTACTTGTACTGATGTTATTACACATACTGAAAACTGAGTGAGTGAGTATGGTTTTGTGCCGCTTTTAGCAATATTCCAACAATATCACGGGGGACACTAGAAATGGGCTTCACACATTGTACCCATTACTGAAAACTGGCCTAAACAAGTGTTACAGCTTAAATGTTACTACGTAGTCATATTTCACACATGCAAGTGAGTGAGTTTAGTTTTACTCAGCAATATTCCAGCTATATGGCGGCGGTCTGTAAATAATCGAATCTGGACCAGACCATCCACATGATCAACAACATGAGCATCGATCTGTGCAACTGGGAACCGATGACATGTGTCAACCAAGTCAGCGAGCCTGACCACCCGATCCCGTTAGTCGCCTCTTATGACAAACATAGGTTACTGAAGATCAATATTCTAACCCGGACCTTCACGGGTCCACACATACAAGACTGCAAAGACAAATACAAACAACATGACAGTCCACTTACCTGAAGTTGAGCTGACAATGCCGTTTGGAAGAGGTGAGGCAAGTGACACGTGGGGGCTGAGAGCATCCTGAAACAGAGAGGATTGTCAGGTGAACGACAGTCTCAAATCTCAGTGTTTAAAAGACAGTGATATATCACACTAGACCCTGGAAGTTTTGTTGACTTTTCACAGAAAATGATTTGTTTGTTTGTTTCTTGAATAACACCCCGCTCAGCAATATTCCAGCTATATGACGGTGGTCTGTACATAATCAAGTCTGGACCAGACAATCCAGTGATGGACATCATGAGCATCAATCTACGCAATAGGGATACAGTGACGTAAGTAAACCAAGTCAGGGAGTCTGACCACCTGATCCCGTTAGTTGCCTCTTACGTCAAGCATGCGTTACTGAAGGTCATGGGTCATGGGTTGCTGAAGACTGCTTCAAACACAGATCTTCACAGGTCACAGAATATGAACATTCCAAAAAATATTTGTTATTTAAAATTTAATAATGATTCATGTTGGCAGTAAGATTACCATGGATACTGCATTGTTCCATTAATTATGTATTAAACGTGATTAATTTGATCAATATTATCTGTAAAACCTCAAGTTAACTGTTTTTCCTCCACATTCTGTGAACCATGTGTCTCAGTTGTCAAGGTATCACAGCATCCTAGTGTGACTATCGCGTGAGATCATGCAGAGAAGGAGTGTTTCAGAAAATCACTAATAGCTTTTGTATTTCACAGCGTTAATAACACAAACGGATTCAGACAGTTGGTTGTCATGGTTATTGAGTATTGATGCTGTCAATTTAAACATTTGAAACCTTTGGCAAACAACGTCAGTACCAAATGAAATTCCCCGACATAAGATACCCAACAACACCTGCATATTAAAAAAATAAATGCCTGTCTGTAATGCATAATGAAAATGTACTGCTTGTCTTCTACAGAGTTAAATCCTACTCCACAATCAATAACAGAATACCTGTACAACAGTAAATGTCATATTACTGAATTATAAATATATTCTTATCAGATATACTTAGCTATTCAAGCTGTTCAATTCATGATATTAAAAAGATATTAATGAAAACAGGTTAAAAATATTACCAGTATTTTCATCTGCTGATTTTTTGTAGGTTTTTCTGAGTAAGAAACAAGATCCTAATTTGTTGTTGCCTATCTGAAGTTTGAATTTTTTAATTTAGGAATTTTTGTTTTACTTGACACTACTGAGTGAGTGAGTGAGTTAATATTTAACGTAACATCGGCAATATTTCAGCCATATCGTGACGAACTTGACACTACTGAACTCCCTTATACTGACATGTCATATTTCCATAGATAGATCTTTTCGTAAGCCATAACATGATAAATATTGTCCAATGACAACTGTAATTTTTTGCAATCCATGAAGTGATATAACATTTGTCAACAGATACAGATTGATTTTCGCAATCCATGGAATGATTAACATTGTCCAAACATATCTGCAATTTTTTTAAATCCATGAAATGACAACATTTGTCAAAAGATACAGATCGTTTTTCGTAAACCATTTTATGATTAACATTTGTAAGTAAACAGACACTCTCCAACACCAAGCCTTGTTTCATCTGAAGCCTTTTTTGTAATACCCCCTGCTGAGATTCGTGATGGTCTTTACTCTCATTCCTATTGATTAGTTGGTTCACACATCCACGCTGACTTGTTCTAAAACTATCATACAAACAATAGCAAACAAATCCACAAATAGAAATGCAGATCAACGAGAACCTTTCGCAAGAAGATAAACAATGACACAGCTATTTTCATTTATCAGGTTTCTGAAAATAATATCCAGTACCAACAAAGGGACATGAAAATGTTGAGTAGATGTTTAAAAGCTGGTCTGTCAGCAGCAAATGAACATACATTGTTTTTCAAAAAAGTAAAATTTCAAAATGTGAAGATTTCTGACAAGAACCAAACAAAACACTACATTTGTGTGGGTCTGAATATTACGTAACTACACCTAGCTGTCTAATAAATCAGGGTTCTTGTGGTATTGTCAGTCCTTGGGGTGTACTGATGGGGTGTACTGATGTTCGGGGGTGTACTGATGTTCGGGGGTGTACTGATGTTCGGGGATCTTCTCGAGGCAAGAGTGTCCACTAGTCTATATGAAAGTCTAGTATACATCCTTGTCATTCCATGCCGACATTTCTGTACTAAAACAGACACGATTTAGAGAGGACTAATGCACATATTGATTGTCCAACTAGAGAATGTTTTTCAACATCAACATTGGCTTCTCAAAACCTGTCTGCTACCATGGCAACAGCCATTGCAGGTAAATATTTGCACCTACATAATTCCAACAATTTAGCAATGACCAGATTTTCGAAGTACCATATATTACAGCATATAAAGCAAAACCACACATAAGGCTACTTCCTTTAACAAACCTTCAAAATCAATTCTAATTTATATATTCTATCTATAACGTGCAGTTGAGCGAAACACATCATCAAAGCAAAGATGATCCCTAATTTTGTAAGATAAACATGTTAGTGTCCCAATATTTTTTCATAAGATGTCGGCCGCGTATTACAGCAGCATACAGTGCCATATTGTGTGCTGACTCCATGCAACACTAAATTGGTGACAGCAAAAAACATCTGTTCATTTAAGTATTGAAGCATGTTATAGATGAAGACAGCCTACTTATTGTAATTTAATCGACAATTATCCATGTTTCAGTTAATTACGGTCTGTTTTGATAAATATTAGCGTGTTTATTCAACAGTCTTTGATACATGTGGTTTAATAATGAATGAAAAAATATGGGGAATTTATTTCAGGTTCACCAGTTGGATATCACATGTTAGGTGACATGGGAAACGGATCAGTGACGTCTCAAGTTATGAAAATGTAACTTCATTATTGGTTACAGTTTGCTACTAGTATATTTCAACAAAACAATAGAAATAGATACATTTCTGTGGAAATGCAGTGATGATGTAAATGAAATATATAATATATGTAAAGTTAACTGTTATGCCAAAATGTATTGGAAAGTTTGAGATGATCCCAATCCTCCTTAGATAGCGGAGACTATTTTGTGATCGTATCAGCTGGCTGGGCAATCTTAATCAAGTCGAGCCTCAGTTAAACTCCATTAGCTCCAGAATATATATTGTATGAACTAGAAATTCACATACTATGGAAGCTGATTTACCAAAATAGTTTTTGGAATAGTTATTACTGAAATAAAATGTAAAGTTTTACTGTCAAACAACATCAGTGGCTATTGGACACCGATTGACAACACAAGTTGGAAAAGAATGTCAGAAATTCTACCCTGTGTATTCAAGGGACACCCATTCAAACAAGTCTAGTTCAAGTAACTTGTCTTATTTGATGTAATATACAATATTCGCTGATTTGTCATTCACTGTATTAGTGCATTTTATATATTTTGAGGGCAAACTTCATTCTATTCAGCGGCGGATACAGCTTTTTGAGAAAGGGGGGCGCACAGTATTGAGAAAAGGGGTGCACACTTCATTTTCACCCGAGTTTCAATGGTCATTTAATAAACTTTAAGGACAAAAGGGGGAAAGAGCACCCCTGCACCCCACACTGGATCCACCTGTGCTATTAAGTCAAACGATTAAATGTGTACCGCAATGACTGCGCTGCAGAGATATTTTTAGAATGAGACAATGCATGAATGATACCTGCCCCGTGGTGCTACCTGCCCCTATGGGTATAATAGTTATATCAGTTAACTAAAGGAGAACTCCGGACTTACTGTTCTGAACATGGGACTGGGAGCTGTGGTGCTATAGAAGAATGACCAATCCCCCAATGCCCCTCTGGATATATCAGTTATATCAGTTAACTAAAGGAGAACTCTGGACTTACTATATCAGTTATATCAGTTAACTGAACATGGGACTGGTTCTGAACTGTGACTGCTATGGTGCTATAGAATGACCAATCCCCAATGCCCCTCTGGATATATCAGTTATATCAGTTAACTAAAGGAGAACTCTGGACTTACTGTTCTGAACATGGGACTGGGAGCTGTGGTGCTATAGAAGAATGACCAATCCCCCAATGCCCCTCTGGATATATCAGTTATATCAGTTAACTAAAGGAGAACTCTGGACTTACTGTTCTGAACATGGGACTGGGAGCTGTGGTGCTATAGAAGAATGACCAATCCCCCAATGCCCCTCTGGATATATCAGTTATATCAGTTAACTAAAGGAGAACTCTGGACTTACTGTTCTGAACATGGGACTGGGAGCTGTGGTGCTATAGAAGAATGACCAATCCCCCAATGCCCCTCTGGATATATCAGTTAACTAAAGGAGAACTCCGGACTTACTGTTCTGAACATGGGACTGGGAGCTGTGGTGCTATAGAAGAATGACCAATCCCCCAATGCCCCTCTGGATATATCAGTTATATCAGTTAACTAAAGGAGAACTCCGGACTTACTGTTCTGAACATGGGACTGGGAGCTGTGGTGCTATAGAAGAATGACCAATCCCCCAATGCCCCTCTGGATATATCAGTTATATCAGTTAACTAAAGGAGAACTCCGGACTTACTGTTCTGAACATGGGACTGGGAGCTGTGGAAGGACTAGCCTGCGAGGTGGCCATGTTGGAGTTGCTGAGTGTCGTAAGGTTGACCGGCGCTAACACTGCACCCTGCAACCCATCAACCGGAACAGCAATCTGGGACATTATAACACTGTTATTGTGTAAACTCTTTATCGTATCCAGGTTATTTGTAAGTTTGGCACCACTGGTGGTCTTAGCATTGCCACTGATTGTCCGACTCCGGCGAACAGTGTTTTTATCGTCCGTTGGTACAACCTGTTGATGAGTGGTCAGATCAGCTAGCTGGGCACTTGTAATATACTGGCCGTTGAGAGAATCAATTCCAGTTAATACTAGATTAAAATCTTTGATATTGATATTATTCTTGGGCACTTGGTTCTGTTTATTTGTCAATGTTGCATTGAAATGGCCGATAGTGGCACCACCGAGGTTTGGAATGGCAATGGCTGTTATTGGGTTTGTGTGAGTGTTGAGGGCTGCCATGGTGCCGATGACGTTGGATATAGCTGGTGTTGGATTGACGGAGGCCGTCACTGACGACAGACCACCGCTCCCACCCTGACTACCACTGCTACGTTTCCGTTTGGCAGGGTTCATGTTTACTGCAGATCCTGATGAGGACCCAGGACTCCGAGAGCCTGCAGAGTCCCGAGGAGATTTAGAAGTCCGATTGCTACTTGATGATGATGAAACAGCTGATGAAGAGGAGGAGGACTTTGATTTTGGTTTTGAAGCACTTTTGTTGGCAGAGTTTATCACTCCGATGAAGTTGTGAGAACCTGCACTGACATCGTCCATGTTGAATTCATACGGATCTTTGGAATTTGTGACCAGAAGGGGTTCCTTTGGCAAGTTGGACTCGACACACAGTTTTCTGAAAGAACAGAGAAAATGATCAACAGCAGAACCAAACACAACAAAACATATCTTTAAGTTTGTTGTTTAACGCTGCACTCTGCGATATTCCAACTATATGGAGGTTGTCTGTAAATATTTGAGTCTGGATTAAACAATCCAGTGATCAACAGCATGAGCATCAATCTACATGATGGGAATATGCTGACATGGTTGTCTGTAAATAAATGATTCGGTACCAGAAAAAAACAGTGATTAACATCATGCTCTTTGATCTACAAAACTGGGATGAGATGATATCCATCAACCCAGTCAGCAAACATGACCACCTGATTCCATTACCTTCCTCTTATGTCTCATCAAACAGTTTAAACATGAACTGACTGACTGACTGACTGAGTTTTGGTTTTACGCCGCTTTTAGCAATATTCCAGCAACATCACGGCGGGGGACACCAGAAATGGGCTTCACACAATGTACCCATGTGGGGATTCGAACCCGGTCTTCGGCGTGACAAGCCAACGCTTTAACCACTAGGCTACCCCACCGCCCCTTTAAACATGAAGGGGCGATGGGGTAGCCTAGTGGTGAAAGCGATCGATCATCACGCCCACATGGGTACAATGTGTGTCGTCTGGTGTCTTCCGCCATGATATTGCTGGAATATTGCTACAAGCAACGTAAAACCATACTCACTAACTGACTCTAAACATGTCTAATTGATCATAGTGTTTAATACTAATGTACTGAAGTTCCAGGACAAACTTATACAGGCAGGGTCAGGAAACAATACTTTCTCTCTTAGGGGTCTAAAGAACTGATAAAGTACTGATTATGATTTGACTTCATTTTAGGAGAGAGCGTTAATGAACAGCAATGTCTGCCTGATGCAGAAATATTCCAGTCATATCAAACAGCCAGCCAAGTTGAGGCCAGGCAAGTGAGTGAGTAATGTTTTACGTTGCTTTTAGCAATATTTCCGCAATATCATGACAGGGGACACCAGAAATCGGCTTCACACATTGTACCCATGTGGGAATCGAACCCAGGTCTTCAGCGTGACAAGCGAACACTTTGAAACCCGATGAATCAGTGGTTGATGTAAAGAATGATCTTCCATGCCATGGGGAGTATGATGACAATTTGGCTGCTTCTAACACAAGCAAGAGTCCTTGACACCGAATCTAAACCAAAAAAGTATTGTCATCACATATGACTGCCAAGTGTTCCTCATCCATGATTGATATAAAATACCATGGTAACCCATGGCCAATAGGGGAACTTTGGGCTGGTGTGTGGTCCTGTGTATAGAGCTGAGGTTACAAATCAGTTGAAGTTAAGCAACGCTTGTCAGGTCCTTGGAAGGCGACTGTGTTTGGCAGCTTGACACCAGTTTGACACCTGAGAGTTTTTAGTTTGTACAAAATTGCCTCTCTTCATCCAACAGTAAATTGATACTCGATAGGATAAGTCTGTGACTATTACCTTCAAAGGCAGCTTGGGTTATCTAGGGTAATAATGTCCACTATGCTGTATGCGCTTAGAGCATACCCGTGCAGCTTGGAGTTGAGTGCTATATAAGTTGATTTATTATTACTTACTTGTGGGGCGGAGGATGTAGGTGGCGCTCCAGAGCACTAAGGAAAGCTGCTCGTACATAGTCAGCACGGCGAGAAAATGCATGGCACCCACTTCCGTTAAACCGTGCGCGCCAAACCGGCACATCTGAAACAACAACATATCAAATAGGACTCTTTCATGATACAGATAAACTATTCATTAGTTTTTCAACAGCCTACAAAATAAAGACAAATTTAGTATTTTGAAGTTTCATCTGAAACAAAACTGAAAATGAGCATATCAGTTTTTGACATAGAGCAAACATGTCATTGAGACTTACAGCTGCTTTTTCCATTCTTGCAGCCATATTAGTGAGTGTTATGAGATGAAGGTTGTGGATATTTATTAATTTGCTAAACCCCTGAACATTGCTGCCAGACCGATGACTCTGTGAGAAGTGAATTTATTGCCTCTTCAAACTGTAATTCTGTCGTAATGGATGACACAAACTGATGACAGCTGTAGACACCTGCCACTTTAGTGAAACCCGCAATCATTGGTATGGTGCTAACAAACCGAGGAACATCAATATGAATCTGTGATGCAAATCCGTAATCATAGGATTCTTGCATAACTAAGGGAGGCAACACTGCACAGTGAAATGGAACACCTTCAACAACTGGGCCATCAGGCAGGTCAGCGATGGAAAAAAGATGGCTACAAGATCAATGAAACATGAAAGAACCCATCACATTCTGGTCAGAAAAAAATGGTTGGGTGGTTGGATGTTATTTAACGCCGCACTCGGCAATATTTCAGCTACATGGCGAGGTCTGTAAATAATCCAGTCTGGACCAGACAATCCACTGATCAACGGCATGAGCATCCATCTACGCAACTGGGATATGATGACATGTGTTAACCAAGTCAGCGTACCTGACCACCCGATCCCGTTAGTCGCCTCTTACGACAAGCATGGGTTCTAACACAGATCTTGTCACAAACACTGAGCAAGATATTTACCTTACAAGTGAGAGATCGAAGTACACTGTTTAGCAATGTCAGGAATCCAGCACCCACAATGTTTGTCGGACCTTAACGGGTTGAGACAAAATACATGAAAAAGCAAACAGCTATAGCTTACAGCAGCAGGTTGCGGGTGGTATGGCAGGTAAGTGGCATCCAATCGGTCCTGATCCTCATCTCCATCCTCCATCGACAGACGACCACCACTTGTATCCATAGCAACAGAAGTAGGCTCCTCCTTGATATGTGTCAGGGAAGGCGGGGCGACAGTTGAGGTAGGTCTACAGGAAACATGAAGTTACTTGTCACTTAACATACATTTCACAGGTGTAAGCAGAATGATCCAGCAGGTGAATGATATTTTTATGAAAAGCATCACTGTTATGTTGTGACTGCCATTAGTGCGAAAATCACTGATACAGGGCTAGGTAAAAACAGTGGTTGATAGTATGAGCAGATATCAGGGAGCCTTGACCAGTTAGCTAGTCAAACATTTTGGCCAAACATTTCGGTGGGCTTGACATACAACATTGTGTTATTACGAGTCCCAATCAGCAATATTACAGCTATATAGTGGCGGTCTGTAAATAATCAAGTCTGACTAGACAATCCAGTGATCAATGTCATGAGCATCGATCTACACAAATGGGATAAGATGGCATGTATTAACCAAGTTAATGCGACTGCCCTCCCGATATTCCCTTAGTCGCCTCTTACAACAAGCATAGGTTACTGAACACCAATACCAATCCAGATCGTTAGCTACACCAAGCATGGGCAACTCAGGAGGTTTCACATTAATCTGGCGGACTTCGGATATAAAACACAACAACAATGTAAGATGGTTAACATTTTACCTTTGAAATACTGAGTTGTGGGGCTTGGCATGAGACTTGTTTTTCTGAGTGGGAGACATGGAGGGTGGGTGTGGCACTTTGGAATGAGTGACACCATCTTTTGAGTGAGCATTAGAATCGGTATGACCAGATTTGGAGCTACCCCCTCCCCCCGGCCCTGCCCCGCCCCCAGAGGCTGCTGCTGCCTTAGCTGCCATCTCAGCTTTCTGTTTGAGGAGAAGTTCCTTGGCTGCCCGATGTTCTTTGAGCAGTTCATCGAACGTTTTGCTTCTTCCCTTCACGGCTCGTCGTAATGAAAGAGCATGAGTCTAAAGGAGACAAACATTTCTAATTAGCTGTCTTCAGTTTTCCAAAGAAAGTAACATTGTTGACAAGGTATTGATAAGCCAGGCACTCATGCAGATGTACAGATATATCAAACAACATATGATTGCAGGCATGTCATTTAGGCAGCAATGTGATATATTCTAAGCAAACAAGTACAATTTAAAACATGCAATTTGCAAACATATATATGAAATTTGAAACCCGAACGCTATATTTTCCAGTATTTATTAGTAGTATGAACACATGAAAATATTAACTTTTAAACTCTCTATACGTCACAAATATTGTTTGTTTCTTGTTTAATACTCCATTCAGCTATATGGCAGCAGTTTGTAAATAATCAAGTCTGGACAATCCAGTGATCAACATCATGAGCATCGATCTATATATCCAACTGGGATATGATGACATGTGTCAACCAAGTCAGCGAGTCTGAACCCCAGATTGTGTAAGTTGCCTTTTACGACAAACATGGGTTGGTGAAGACCAATTCTATTCCAATCTCCATGGGTTGGAAATATGACTGACTGACTGAGTTTGGTTTTACGCCGCTTTTAGCAATATTCCAGCAACATCAAGGCGGGGGCACACCAGAAATGGGCTTCACACATTGTACCCATGTGGGGATTCGAACCCGGGTCTTCGGCGTGACGAGCCAACGCTTTAACCATTAGGCTACCCCACCGCCCCGGTTGGAAATATGAGCATATAAGTTAAAAAACAACACCAAGCATGGGTTGCTGATTGCCAATTCTAACAAAGATCTTCACAGATGTGACAAACACCAAGGAAGTGTAGCGTGATATTTACCTTACAAGTGAGAGACCGAGTACACTGTTTCGCAATGTCAGGAATCCAGCACCCACAATGTTTGTCAGGGTCAAACTCACGATCTGGAAATTACAACAAAGTTGAAAATATTTCAAACTGAGTAGCCAAACCAGTTGGAAAAGCCTGATGGCGACTGAAACAATCGTTGGTTTTGAGGCAGAAACATAATCATGAGAAACAGACAGATAAGATGACACAGAGATGGGTTTCTAACATGAAAGTAGGTCCATTTTGAGGAGAACCCCCAGATTCAAATAACACAGAAGACCTCAAGGAACCTACTGATTAAAGCCACAATAACTCGGTGCGCCTAGTGGCTGCAAGAGTTGTATACTCCCCAGGGAGTTGAGATTGATAATGCGATGTGCCGTTGAGATTGACATCCAATGATCGAGGGAAAAAATACCAGCGCCTTGAGCATGCACTAGTGTGTGGATATGTGCGCTATATAAATATCCTATAATAAATAAATACTGCTGAAAAGTCAAAGTAACATTTTGGTTAAATGTAACTTAAACAATGTTGATGATTCCTTTAGAGTATTGTCAGACAGCTTGTTAAGAGCAAGTAAGAAAAACCTAATGAAAACTGAAATATTTCGCTGAAAAAACAGGGCTACATTATCATTATATGATATTTATATAGCGCACATATCAACGTAACTAGTACATGCTCAAGGCGCTGGTATTTCCCTTGATCACTGGTTGTCAATCTTAACGGCACATCGTATTATCAATCTCAACTCCCCAGGGGAGCATACAACTCTTGTAGCCACTAGGAGCACCGAGTTTTACGGCTTTCTCATCCATACAAGGTACCCATTCACAGCTGGGTGGACTTGGACACATAGTCACAGTACCTTGTCCAAGTTTACTGCACGTTGCTGTACCCGCAACTAGGTGTTTGCACATATACATGTGGCCACCATCTGGTCATATACCAATGGATTCGTGGGTTCTTTTAAGTGCACAGGGTTGTGTACTGCACACTAGGGTTGTGACAACACAGAAAGAGTCTGCACACAAAGTTAACTCCAAGGTTTTTACACCCGGTCACTGGTGGGCTCGATCCCGGCACCTCAAGCTCGCTGGATCACTAGCCTGGTGCTTTAGCCAGCTCGCCCACCGCGCCCTACATCCTTTCTTTTATTGGTTGACTTAAGCACTGTTTGTCATTACTGAATAAATAAACAGACTCTGACTGAAGGACAGGACACGCTTATCAAAATCACAACCCTATCCCACATATATGAAAGTTTTGTTTGACAGATTTACAAAACAACGATCCCTTACCTTTGCATGGAAGAAATTTCCTCTCCTTTGGAGATTTCTTGTTACTGGAGGGTGGAGTGACTATGGAAGGGGCCGGTGTAGGTGTCGGAGGTGGCACCGAGGGGGCGGCAGGCGTGACAGTCGTCATTGCAGGGGACGGTGTCACGGTGGTAGTAGCACTTGGAGTCATATTGCTGCTGCTGATGGAGCTCTTCGATGTTGTAGTGGTAGTAGTGACAACAGACACCACACTTGCATGAGTAGGTTGCGATACTGGGGGAGTGGGGGGTGTCGGGGCACCACTGGAGTTGGCCTTCACAGTTCCGTTGGTGAGCGCTGGTTTGGAACCAGACTCGGGGGCCACTGACAGAGTTCGTTTGGCCAGTTGTTCGGGTATTCGTTCCATTTTCACCACTGGCATTGTGTGAGATTTCTTCATTGAGCTGCTGCTGCTGCTCCCGGAGGAGGTGTTGCTCTTGGACAGAGACGCCATCTTAGGCACAAGGTTGGATTGTGGAGGCTGTTTCAGGCTGGCCTTGGTCAAAGGCTTGCGACCTTCCTTGACTGGTGTGTCACTGCCAGTCTTGGGGAAGTCGGCACCTATTGCAGCCTTGATCAATGCCTTACTGTCCTTCAACCCATGGCGATTCACTGCAATAGATGGATATGTTGTTATTACCCTTTAGATAAATGTTTGATTGGTTAACAGCCAACGCATATGAAACCATTCTCTACAGTTTCATTGGTAGTAGGAATCCATCTACCCTGTTCAATGGGCAGTATGTACGACCTTGACAGTTTGCAACCTTTGACATTAAATTCAACTATTATGACCAGAAAAAAGTTCTTTTTATCATTTTTTGTTTGAGAATATGCTATTTTTTATCAGTGAACTGGAAATAGACCTAAACATGTATCCTAAATGGTGGTATACTTTAGAATAACAAGTCCCTTACAACATAGTTTTTAATCCAACAAGAGTTATGTCCCTTCTAAAATAGATTGATAATATTCATCTGTGGCAACAATGATGGCAAAATGCTTTGCGATCTAAACTGTAGAAGAGTAAATGTTGTGTTTTCATATCAAGAATATCTGTATTATGCCTTTTATTAGAATCTGGCACCGAAAGTTCTAATGGGTAATAAATTTGTTACACAGCCTTTTGCCAGGTGGCATGGGAAAACGTGCAGCAAATATGGATTCAAACAGGCCCTTCCATCCAATGCTACCTGGCCAATAGCCGTACAAACTAAAAATATTAAGCTAAAAAGGACATGTTTATGTAAGTCACTGATTATAGGAGACGGAAACAAAATTATCACATATTTGCAGGAATGCTTTTTTTTGCTGTTGCTTTATGAACAGATCAAGAACGTGTATTACATTCCAGTTACAGCATCTGACAATTGACCTGACATTTGCCTCATCTGACAACTGACCTGATATTGGCTTCATCTGACAACTGACCTGACATTGGCCTCATCTGACAACTGACCTGACATTGGCCTCATCTGACAACTGACCTGACATTGGCCTCATCTGACAACTGACCTGATATTGGCCTCATCTGACAACTGACCTGACACTGCCTCATTTGACAACTGACCTGATATTGGCTTCATCTGACAACTGACCTGACATTGGCTTCATCTGACAACTGACCTGATATTGGCTTCATCTGACAACTGACCTGATATTGGCCTCATCTGACAACTGACCTGACATTGGCCTCATCTGACAACTGACCTGATATTGGCTTCATCTGACAACTGACTTGACATTTGCCTCATCTGACAACTGACCTGATATTAGCTTCATCTGACAACTGACCTGACATTGCCCTCATCTGACAACTGACCTGATATTGGCCTCATCTGACAACTGACCTGACATTGGCCTCATCTGACAACTGACCTGATATTGGCTTCAACTCACAACTGTCTTGACTAGCTTTTATCTGACAACTGACCTGATATTGGTTTCATCTGACAACTGACCTGACACTGGCTTCACATGACAACTGACCTGACACTGGCTTGTATTTATGATAACATCTTACACATACTTCAAGCATTCATCACACACTCTCATGTTCAATCATGCTCATTATTTTCATGCCCCAAATCATGTGTTGCCTTTATGTTGAAAAAATCAACTGTTCTTACAGTTGACCCATAGGTCAACACTAAATCATTGTAAAACTAAGTCACAAACAATGATATTGGCCCTTTCAAGGACCAAATCTTAGAAACTAAATACATCAAGACATTTTTTTGTTCTCCCCAAGTGAACATTTGAACCTTAACTTTTGGAACCTTAACACAGGAACACACCTCCTCATGCTTACAGGAAAACCTTACTGTACTTCTTGTAACACTCACCTGTCACTTACTGTCAAGTAATTCATGTACTTCCTGTATCTCCACTGATGACAATTGAATCTCACAAGACACCTTATAATACATTCTCAAAATCTGTCGCAACTTCAGAATTCATGAGCGAGTAAAAAGATGCTATTAAGATAATCTGAAAGAACACAGCTTGTTAATTACAACTGGCTAGGTTTCATTTTTCATGACACTTTATTCCTTATTCCTTCCATTTACCACCCCCACCTTCCATAAAACTCGGCAGAGTATCCTGTTGTGCCAGGCTTACAGCACAATTATTGATTTTTGTTAAGTACGTATCAGTGCGTGATTTGTACTACATGTGAAACCGATTTCTTTCCAGAGCACACTTAATCTCTGATGCTCCATGCACAGCCTCATGTAGGAACATTCCAGACCTCACAAACTAACACTAAACATTGGCATTCAGTGCTGTAGAATAATCCTGTAAGATGTAAACATTTTGGAACTATAAGTTTTGTTGTTTTGTTTGTTGTTTAAAATTGAGGTGAGCAATATTCCAGGCATATGATACTGGCCTATAAATAGTAGTCTGGACCACACAATCCAGTGATTGACTTCAAGAGCGTTGATCTTCACATTTCATTTGCTTGTTTGGTTTGTTTATTGTTTAATGCCGTGCTCAGCAATAGTCCAGCTATATGGCAGTGGTCTGTAAATAATCGAGTCTGGACCAGACAATCCAGTGATCAACAGAATGAGCATTGATCTGCTCAATAGGGAATCGATGACGTGTCAACCAAATCAGCGAGCCTGACCACTCGATCCTGTTTGTCGCCTCTTACGTCAAGCATGTGTTACTGAAGGTCAATATTCTAATTGAGATACGATGACATACATCAACCAATTCAGCTAGCCTGTACAGTACACAACCCTGTGCACTTAAAAGAACCCACGAATCCGTTGGTAGATGACCAGATGGTGGCCACATGAATACGTACAAACACCTAGTTGCAGGTACAGCAATGTGCAGTAAAACGTGGACAAAGTGCTGTGACTATGTGTCCCAGTCAACCCAGCTGTGAATGGGTACCTCGTAAGGATGGAAAAGCCACATTCACTCGGTGCGCCTAGTAGTAGAGTTGAGATTGAAAAAAAATATGATGTGCCGTTGTGATGGATATCCAATGATCGAGTATGAACATGAAACACATGGACTGTCTCCATCACATTAAACACTCCCTTCCAAAAAGCTGCTCCTGACTAATATGAAATATGAGTGCTGATGTGAACCGGAAAACTAAAACCATAAACTACACATGTACTGTTTTCATCACATTAACCATCCCATTCCAAAATGCTTTGCCTGACCAATATTTAGACCAGTCTTTATTGGCACCTGTACTGCAACTTAACTCCTGGACTATACATTTACAGGCACGTACAGCAAGTGTGGATGCCATTTAATCACTCGATTAACAATATTCCAGCAATCACTATGATCATGTATGTTGTAGTGGTGTTCCAATGATCGAAAAAATAAAAAAATCGATCGAAAGAAGGATTAAAATGATTATCGATTGTAAAAAATATTTTTGATTTCTCGGAATTTTGTTGTTTTTGTATAACACCCTTGAATTAAGTATACTAACCATTTAATTTGATGAATATTCACGAACAAACATGTGCTCAACAGCATAAAGATATGCACATTGTAAAATTTTAACCACTTTTATTGTCTTTATTTCAGTGTCTTTCTTGCATGTGTGCATATCATTGCATGACAGTATTAGTTATAAAAACACATTAATTAGAAAAAACCTGGGTGAAAAACCTTAAAATTGGTGATTACATTAAACATGTATATATTTTGATTATAATCGATAATCGTTCACCACAAGTCATCCGATATTCGATAGTGGATTTGGTTTCCGATTCCCAACACTAGTCTTTTGTCCAGTTTCCACCAATTCTCTAGCAGTCAAACAATCAAGTGATTGAAAGCTAGAGCATCAGTTGTGACAAGATGACCTCCAATTCCCCAAGTCACAAAAACCACCCGGTCCATAAATTGTGTTCTTACGACAAGCACAGGCTATTGGGGATCTATAATCTTACCGCATTTCCACAGGTCACCAATGTCATCTGTAAGTAATCAAATCTGAACCAGACAATGAGTGGCCTTAGACAACAATCAGGGTCATCTGGACAGTACAATAACAATTCTGTCAAGTCATCAATTCTGAGACCTCTATCCTCTTACAAAGAACCATCACAACCAATAGACTCTTACAAAAACCCTTAGGAGGCGACTAACAGGATCGGGTGGTCAGGCTCGCTGATTTGGTTGACACGTCATTGTATCCCAATTGCATAGATTGATACTCATGCTGTTGATCACTGGATTGTCTGGTCCAGGCTCGATTATTTACAGACCGCGATCATTTAACTGGAATATTGCTGAGTGCAGCATTAAACAACATACCAATCTTATGTGTGGAGACACACGTTATGGATCTGTATGTGTGTTGTTTGTTGAGCTGGATCAGTACTAGAATGTTTTTGGTCTTCTACAACCCATGCTGGTCATAGTCACGGATGAGCAGGATCTGGTAGTCGGATTTCTTAGCTTGTTTACAATGAGTCATCGTATCAGGGTCGGAAATAACTTGCTAGTGTACTCCGGTACAGTGGCACATGTAAAATCACTTGCCCTGATAATTTTTCCAGTATACCAGCCGTTTTTTGTTGATTTTTTAAATAAACATAATTAATATTGGAAAGTCAACTGGACACCGGTACAGTGTGATATACAAATTTGCTTGCCCGACAGAAAAAAACACTGGACTCGGGCGTCGGGCAATGGGTTATTTCCACCCCTGATATGCTGATGATGTCAATGATGTCATTGTCAGTTCAGACTCAATTATTTACAGACTGCGGACAGACAACAAATAAACAAATAGACTCAACTACTTTCAAGGCCTTGTTTGTCTATTACCATTATCATTAGCGCATTAACCTACAAACCAACAATCATGGTAATTTTCTGACAAACAAGAAAAATTCAGGATATTTAAACTCTTTCAATTATTCATAGTTTTACCAGGTCGGCAGATGGCTTCAGTTATATGTGTGAGCATGTTACGCTCATCGGACATGTTCACCAGACTGTGGCAACAGAAAGAGACAATGTGCACAATGTTGTTATTTCAAAAAGGTAATTCCTAGGTGGACCTGTCATGTTTTGCAGTGACTTGGGCTTGTTGACAATAAACAATGTTTGTGAAACTATAT